ACGATAATTTGTCAGAGGATTTTTTTACATCGATTGTGCCGTCAAACGGCTGCTATAAAAATGGACTATATGCCGGAAATTTACAAGGAAGCATTGATCTCTATTGAAGACATTTGCTTGATGATGGAAAGCAAAGCACTAGCTCAATTCGGTATGACAGCGCCTAATCGAGAAATACACGACCTTTTCAACAAAGAACTGGAGCGTGAACAACAGTATGATCGTGCCGAGCTTAATGGGTTTGTGCAAAACAATGAGCCATGGTTAAATATCACTCAAAGAACGGTTTACGACCACATATTGCGAGCTATCAAAAAACAACATGGTGGATTATTCTTTTTAGATGCAGCTGGAGATAGCGGAAAAAGTTTGTCATTTCGATTATTTTGGCTACCATTCGAGCACAAGGTAGATTCGCATTGGCTCTGGCTTCGTCTGGCATCGCTGCCACATTATTGGATGGTGGTCGCACGGCGCGCACTGCCCTTAAGTTGCCCTTGAACATGCAGGCTGACGATAATCCTACTTTGCAACATTTCAAAAAGATCTGCAATGGCGAGAGTGCTGCAGCATTGCTCTCTTAATGTTTGGGATGAGTGTACTATGGACAAAAAGAAATCACTGGAAGCACTTAATCGTACGTTGAAAGATATTCGTGGAGATAATCGATTTTTTGGTGGTGCATTGATATTGTTAGCAGGTGATTTCAGACAAACATTGCCTGTAGTCAAACTAGGAACTTCTGCTGATGAAATTAATGCGTGTTTGAAAACATCCAATTTGTGGCGCTCTGTGAAAACACTTAGATTGACTACAAATGTACGTGCTCAATTGCAAAACGATGCTTCAGCAGATTTGTTTTCCAGACAACTGTTAGACATTGGTAATGGCATACTTCCCGTTGACAATTCTGGCTTCATAACGCTTCCAAATAATTTTTTCATTTTTGTGTCATCGAAGGAATACTTGATTCAGAGAGTGTTTCCAAATATTGTACAAAATTATAGAAACCATGACTGGTTGAGGGAAAGAGCAATTTTGGCCGGAACAAATATAGATGTCAATGAGATCAACGTATCTATTATTGAATTCCATCCCAGGATAAATGGATGCGTTTAGGTCGATTGATACAATGATTAATGATGCTGTAATTATCCAGTCGAATTTCTAAATTCATTGGATTTACCTGGATTGCCGCCATACTTTGCAATGGTACAAGACTTTCTGTTAAAAAAGTTATGACTAATTTACTTGAAGCAACTATTTTGACTGGGAAATTTTGTGGTGAACACGTTTAAATTCCGAGAATTCCGATGCTTTCGACTGACATGCCATTTGATTTCAAACGACTTCAATTTCCAATTCGTCTTGCTTTTGATATGACAATTAATAAATCACAAGGACAAACGTTGCAAATTTGTGGTTTAAATTTGGAGCATCCAGTATTTTCAAATAGTCAACTGTATGTAGCGTGATCACGAGTAGGCAAACCTTCGGCGTTATTTATTCATTGTACCGACGGCAAAACAAAGAATTCTGTTTATTACAAAGCATTGCAATAAATTAAATATTTTAGTACATCAAAATTATAATTTTTTAATTTCGATGAATTCCTAAACATTAAATTAGTAAGCAGCGAAGCGCGGCGGGTCTGCAAGTTGTATGTTAAAAATTCTTGAAATCTGTTCAATTGGTTAAACTGTTGTCTTAAAATGCTCTCTGTATATCTGCTATGGTAGATCAGCAGTGAATTCGCGCCAAAAACAAAAAAACAAAAACAAAAAAAAAACACGTCAAAATATGTACCTGCTCGACTCGAGCCTCGCATTTAGGGTGGTTTAGTTATTTTTGTTTTTGTTGAAAAATTTAACATTTTATACATTTTTACAACGCGCAATACACGTACATAGTTTTATTTAAAGAAACGCTGCACTTACCTGATAAAAGTTTTGCCCAAACTTTGACCAAAATAAAAAAATTTAAAAATACTCTGATTGATGATATGATAATGATGATTTAATATATTTCATCTATTAGACATGTGATATCTCAAAATAAATCGGAAAATAGTTCTTCTAGAGAAATTTTAAGGTTATGAGATATTTTTTACAAGGTAGATGAATATTAAACAAAATTTTAAAATGAGTTTTATAATCCGACCCTTTTGGCTAATGTTATCGATGTAGAAGCCAAACGGGTCCGATGCCCAAATATGGGCTTTAAACTTAGGTAAAGGAATATTGTAAGAGCACGCATAAAAAAATTACTTGAAAACAAAAATATAAGTATTTTTTAAATTCAGGTCAAAGTTGAAAAACAACCTAAAAACTAGATGGTTATAAAAATACGTTTTTCTCTAGAACTGTCTATGCAACGGACCAGTTTTTCATTGAATATTGATAACAATGAATACACCTAGTAAAAGATACAAAAAACAGAATGATACCTCCTCACACTTTACTGTTTATTCTACCTGAAAGATGCAGTATGTAAATAATGTTTGAATACATTTTTGCACAGGGAAATAATTTGATTGCTCATTTCTCCTAAGCTAAAAGTCAAATGTTTTGTAAACTTGCATTTTTGAAAGCATTGGGAAATTTTCTATCGGATTCTTGTATCCAAACCGTTCAAAAAATGAATTGAATTTTGCCACCACTTTGCGGCTGAGGCCCCACTGTGCGTCGGTCGCACCTTCGACTTCATATTCTGCTCGGGTGCCGCAGCGGCAGAGAAAAAAATCCTAAATGACGCGTACTTGACATTTGTCATCGCTCACTATTGGTACTGCAGGGCAGCTGTGCAAAATCACATGGAGGTGCGTCAGCCACACAAGTAGATACATATATGTACATAAATACATACATACTCATATTTACATGTGCATGTGACGAAACGTTCATAAAAGGAAAAGAAAAAGTAGAATGTATACCATAAATTCCATTTGCCACACAACAACGACAACAAAAATGCAATTGGTAAGGGTAGAAATAGAATAACAGCGACAAGGACACACATTCCCTTATTAATACCCAACCTCAGCATAAGCAGCTGTGAGTAGAGATGGGCGCGTGTCGAATATTTACAATACAATACGATAAAAGTCGATACAGCCACGAAGAATATACTCATTATGGTCGTATAAAACTAGACTTCAAGTCCAATCTGGACTACAAGAGAGAGATAGTATGAGAACAAATGATAAGTTATGCACTATGTATGTACATAAGTAGGTATCTATCCGCGTGGACACCCGAATCTCGCAGAGTAGAAAAGTCAACCGCACATTCGTTTAGAAGTTGGTAAGCAGAGCATCCTAAATCTTGACTTGAACTGGGTAAAACCCTGATGGGTTTTTGCGAGCGAGTGAAATATATGATGTCATTTGGTTTGTAGTCTAACTAGTATCAGAGTTGTACTTTCAATGTAGAATTTGGCTAGACTTAACAGCTGTGTGTGTTGGTGAATCAATGAACCACCAATACCAAAATAAATTTTTCGTTGTGACTCCCTCTAAAGTCTAGAGTCTAAACATATGTATCTCTGTCTTTCAGTCAAGTGCAGTCGAAAGACCATTTCCAATACGGCCTGTCCGAGGTCGATCCCGTGCTTTAAAATCAAATTGGAAATTATAGTGAGCCTCTGCAAGATTATGGAAAATGCAGTCACCCCTAAAGTGAGAAACAGAAAGCAACCCCTGACTTGTGCAGTGCCGTGCAATATGCTTTGAATAGTTTCCTTTGCTTTGCCGTAAGGCAGATTATGGACTTGGTGTTTGGGTAGATAGCAAAGTCACAGGAGTACAGTAGGGATATGGATAGACTTGTGTCGTGTGTGCTTGATCCTCGATTGATAGATCCTCTATTCAGCTTACGTTGGTGGCTTCGAACCGGAAAAAAATATTTCGAAATCAGACCGTCCGTTTTACTTGGAATTTGCCTTCTACCCTACATAACTATATTTCCACGCAGTTGTCGTCACACTCGGCATTTTGACAGCATTGCCTTCCCTTAATTGTGCTCTGCATCCTATTCTGTGCTTCACCAAAAACCAGAACCATCCCCTGTACTCTCTAGCAATATGGGGAAGGTAGCAGTAACAGAAATATACCAAGGCAAGGGAGCGGACCGAACAAATAACAGAAATTTGTTGAAAATAAAAAGCATTTTTCAGTTGAAGAAACGAGTTTCTCCCAAACAGACGCGTATTGGTTTTCCTGTTCTGTGTGTGTATGTTCATTATATCTCTGTGAAAAAACTAATTTGATCAAAATACCTTGCCACGATTATCCTCGAAAGCCTTAAAATTTTAAAAGTCATAATAAAGCGGTTGCATATATAAAAAAAAACCATAATTACATATGCGTCGAAATTTCATTTCTTAATAACCTCAAAAAACACCACAGTTTAATTATACATACATATGTATATATTTATTGTAAGAAATATACAAACAATTTTTGTTTTTGTTTATGTTTTGTTATCCGAGTAAAGAACATACAACTCGGAACTAAAAAGTTGTGTTTTTTTTTGTTAAATTTAGAAAACGGCTTTAAGTTGGCGCCGTTCTCTAACCACTTGGATTCCCTTGAGGAATTCAAGGCATTATCGGGTGAGTTCATGCGACGAGTATGATTAAGTTTTTCCATTTTAGCCGGTGCTATCGGCATTCGAATAATTTCATATGACATTCAAACAATCAGTCTATTTTGTCAGTCAGTAAGGGATGTACAACGACTGAATATGATACAAATATGTGACCCTGTCTAACGACGTTCATTTCCGTGATCATCTTGAATATGTATACATACATACATTGTGGGTCCGGATAACAGATATTCATGTTAATAAATCAAATGATAAATATTCAGTGAAACATTTACTTTAGAACTGGCTGAAACGAAAAGAATAAAATGTTTTATACCAACAATAAATTGTGTATTAGTTAAATTTTCCTGTGATTATTCTTACATTGTTGTTTTCAATTATTTTTCATTACAGTCGGTCCCGGCACCATACCATCTCCTTGGACCCCAGTGAATGCCGGTCCTCCAGGTGCACTAGGGTCGGCTGACACAAATGGCAGCATGGTGGATAGTAAAAACTTGGATGTTGGTGATATGAGCGATGTAAGAACACTAATTAATGCACTCACATCATTTACCACTGAAGGAATAAATGATATTAAAGCAAGAGAACAAAAGTGACTCGAACAAAATTATCTATACACCTAATACAGAGCTTTGCTAGGAAACATGAACGGGAAATGATCTGGGAGAAGATTAACTACCGTATAGATAATTTTATTCTAAACCTAAACCTATTCTGAACTTATTATGTTCGTTTGGCAGGATGAAAAGGATTTATCGTCCGCCGATGCCGAGGGTGTCTGGAGTCCAGATATTGAACAGAGCTTTCAAGAGGCATTATCTATATATCCACCATGTGGACGTAGAAAAATTATTTTGTCGGATGAGGGAAAAATGTATGGTAAGTAACCATTTTTTTTATAATACTAATACTCCGTACTCATTAGGTTGAGTCAAAAAAATGTGTGTTTTTTTTTTTTAATTTTCAACGAAACACCCCTTAATTTTGTTATCGTGGGTTAAATAGTAATATTTAATTGTAATATTAATAGTAATATTAAAGTTTATATTTTTATTTTAAAAATTTGTTAAACAAAAAATTAAAAAAAAAAATTTTCTGAATAAACTGGAGATTGCGGTGAAATCTATTGCATATGTATTGATACTTTTAATATAGCCATTAATCAGTTATTGGCAGTAAAAAACCTGCACAAGTTTTTTCGAACAAGCTAACTAAATATACATATCAACCAACTACCTGATTTTCACCAATCGTTAATTTTTTAACAGTTACAAAAAAAAATAAAATAAAAATTCCTTATTATCAATACGAACTAGTTTTTAAATTCAATGTTATTTGAAAAAAAACGGACGAATTAAATTTTTTATACCTCGATATAGATATAGACGATATAGACTCAGAGACTAGACTAGATGTATATTAGATATGGTGAGAAAAACTGTTTAATCGTATATATTCAAGATGGGTTGATCGGATCCGAAGACCCGATCTTGGCCCTTTCATGTAATGGTCTGTGGTCAAAATACAGTGGTATAAAACCTTGGGTTTAGAACTGAAAGCTAAAAACTGTTCGGTTTTATAACTCAAAGCCCCTCTTACGCTCTTACTCATGGAGATGGAAACAGATAAAATATTTTAAAATTCTAACAAAATAGGTCATTATGTGAAATCACGATAAACTGAGTGCATCGGCTCCGATACCAATTCCAGCTCTTGCGTACGAGCGCTGTCTTAGAAATAGCCGACCTGACATATGTAGTTGTGTTGGAAAATGTTCACAAAAAATATTAAAAAGGGAAAGTACCGACTATAAAAATATTAAGTTTGAAGCTTTTGGTGCCTGTAGCGTTTGTCGATTTTAATAGAGAACGCTTAAATTGATTTGAAAACATGGACAAAATTGGTCATCGTTATGTAATTCAATACTTCTATTTCAAAAGTCTTAGTCCAGCCAAAAAGACAACCTGGATTCTACCTCTGGTGATTGTGCTCCTGCGGTTACAACAATAAAATATTGGGTGGCAGAGTTTATGCGAGGTTGTTCGAAGATGACCACATCAGAAATGGTGGCAAAAATTAAAAAATATGTATTGGATGATCGGCGGCTGAAAGATCTTGTGTTAGCTGAATGTGTAGGCATTTTAAAAAGTGGTGTACATCGCATATTGACCGAAAAGATGGAAATGAAAAAGCTATGTTTTGTTGCGTTAAGATGGCTGCCGCTTTTTCTCACAATCGACCAAAAACGCACTCGTGTGACAACTTCGAAGGAGTGTTTGGCGTTGTTTAAACACAATAAGGACGATTTTTTGTTCGATTTTTCGTAAACGTGGATAAGACGTGGATCTACCACAACAGAGCAGAGACTAAAGCTGGCCAAGGTGGAGTTTTTAGACTATAAAGTGGAGAATGTTTACTTGGAATGCTCGCTGTATTAACCACATTGATTACACTACTCGACAAAACCGAACTTTTTTTTCCTCAAGGATTCAAACCGACTTTTTCTGATAGATATGGGGCTTTAAATTTTTTTAAAGAATTATGGTTTTTTTTCTATGGCAGAACTTTTTTTTGAACAATTTTTGAAGTCTGGTATTTTTTTAAAGCTTTTTTCAGAGGTAGCGCTTGTTTTTTCACATAACTCTAGTATCTTTCATCTGGTTGCTAAGAACTTTGCTATTTTGAAAAGATAATTAAAACAACTAGAAGTTAAGCACAAACACTTTGTGATTTCAGCTTAGCGTCTGGGAAATAAAAAGCATTGAAATGCAAAAATGATAATTTTTTTGCGGTATTTTTAACGAAATTTTGACTTTGAAAAACTCGGCAAAAGTCGAAAAAAATTATATCCTGGGACCTCTAGTTTTATACCCGTACTCAAAAAAGAGTTCAGGGGTATATTAGATTTGTGGTAAAAGTGGATGAGTGTAACGCAGAGAAGAAAACGTTTCCGACTCCATAAAGTATATATAATCTTGATCAGCATCAATAGCCGAGTCGATAGAGCCATGTCTGTCTGTCCGTCTTGTTTGACGCCTGGATCTCAGAGACTATAAAAGCTAGGGCAACCAAATTTGGTTTCCAGACTCATGTGATATCACACTGCTACAAGCGTATTTCAAAATTCGCCCCGCCCCCTTCCGCCCCCACAAAGAACGAAAATCTGTGGCAGGCACAATTTTAAAGATACGATACGTAGATACGTAGAGAATGCCCATATCTACCAGATTGCCGAATCTGAATCAGATCGGATCATAATTATAGCCAGAATGAAGAAATTAATTTTCAGTTGCTTCCCTCGCCCCCTCCTGCAAGAGAAACCCTACTCATTCTCTTTCTCGCTCGCACACTCTGCCGCGTTCAGTGCGCGAGCAACCCTTAGCGGAGGAGATGTAGAATATAAATGGTACATCTATAATCTACATGTTAGATGTAAAATATACATTGTAGATGTAGATAGAATATGTAGCAAAAAAATGTAAAATGTAAAATTTTTTGTTTAGTTCTAAAATTCTAAAAAATCGTATGCTCAAAAATGTATATACTGTCTGAGTACGGGTATAAGTAGAGTCGCGTCCCCAGAAGCGTCTCACACGTTCCTTCTCGTTTGTGATTAGGTTCATTAATTAGGCGTCGTTTCCTTGAGGAAAACTCGTGTCGAGTAGTGTTATCAAAAGCACTCACTAAAAAACTTACTTTTGACATCTTTTTACGGTTTAGGGTCCCATGGCCCGCGGTTCACGCATACAACTGGAGAGCCGCATCTTGGCATCGACTTTGAAAACTCAGGAAAAGTCGATTTAAAATTATCTATATATATAAAAATGGAGAGATAAAAATGTATAGCGCACCATCACGTGAGAACGGCTGGGCAGATTTGCTGTAAATTTGTATTCAGTTGTGCGTATTTGCCAGAAGAATGTTTTTACGTAAGAAAAACCATCGATCGTGAAAAAAATTGATTTTTATAACATTTGGGTCGATTTGGCTCAAATTTTGTTCAGTTGTTCGTATTTGCGAAGAGGCATAGTTGAAGATGAGTTCTAAACTCGAGATATTATTCATCAATTGAGTTATAATATGCCTGCTATTAGACGATCAAACCTTGGACGATGTACACGTCGTGAAAGGCAAGAGGAACGTGCAGAAGTAAACGAATGGAGACGTGCCCATATTGCAGAGGTTCACGCTGTACAATTGCCACCTTAAATTCGACCAGTAGACTTAAATCGCGTTGCTTTCGAAAACGATTGCGCAATAGCCTACCAAGACCTTCGCTGCGTTGATATCGGTTCATTGTCTTTCCTATGTCTCGTGCTAAGTACAAAATGACTGTCGCACAGTGATATCAATCTGAAGTTTATCTGAAGGCGTTATAATGGGGCCAGACAACGTTCGCCCGGTCCGCTAGTATTTGTATATTTTCTGTATATTTTCTGTATTTTTTGTGTATGGGTGCATTATGCGTCGTTTAATATCTTTCATTCAAATTTATGGATAAAAGGTTAAGCTAAACTTGTATAACCAATCCTTCAAAAATCACAAATCACAAATAGATATGGTACAGAATGCTCTTCGATGTTGCGTTCTTCGTTTTCTCGTATTTTTTAAATTGTGGATGCCAGAGGTTTTTGTTATTTGTGGGGGCGGAGCGAAATTTTGAAATACACTTGTAGAAGTGTGAATTTTGGAAACAAAATTTGGTTGCTCTAGCTCTTATAGTCTATGAGAACTAGGCGCTCATCGGGACGGACAGACGGACAGACAGACAGAAAGCCATAGACTGGGCTATTCACGCTGATCAAGAATTTATATACTTTATGGGGTCGGAAACGTTTCCTTCTCTGCGTTAACCACATCCACTTCGACCACAAATCTAATAGACCCCTTAATTCTTCGAGTACGGGTAAAAAATAGAAATATGTAAAAATGTAAACAAAATAATCATTTGTTCTATCCCCTTTTTGCTTTTTATTTTTTAGGTCGCAACGAGCTTATAGCAAGGTACATTAAACTGCGTACTGGAAAGACGAGAACCCGGAAGCAAGTCAGCTCCCATATCCAAGTGCTCGCCAGGCGGAAACTGCGGGAAATTCAGGCGAAAATAAAAGTCGTAAGTAACATCCCAATTGTGCTCCAGGAGGAAAGCTTAATAAAAAGCGCATCTGATGGTTTCAGTTATTCAGAAATATGTGTACATATTTTTCATTTGCATGCGAGATGTATTCTTTTTGAAAATTATGATCGGTTTTAAGGGTTAGAATGCTGTTACGTATTTTTATACAAAAGTTATGGAATAATTGAATGTAACAATCTAGAGCAGGAAATATGTTTCAGTTTGCAGATGGGAACTTGTGTACGAGTCAGTGTCAGATTAGGATCCCTTAACGAATCAGTATAACCTCCACCAACTCGTATTTGATAAAGTGTAGAATCTTTAATACAATGCCAAGATCTATGTGACGATCGTAATCTACAACCTTCATACTCTTATCAGACTGCATACATATATGCAGAAGTATATGTGTCCCTGCTGTCCTTAATACTTATACATATATTAATGGATACTTAACATCAATACTCGCATACACACCCACAAGCCTGCGTCTATATCCCCTACCAAACCCTAAAGCCAATCAATACACGACCAACTGAAACTCTTTTCCAGGAACCCAATTGTGTGTCCTTGCATTTATTAAATGACAAAGAACAGACTCTGCAAGCCATGAGCACGATGACTAGTTCACAAATTGTTTCTGCCCAAGCAGCCAATAATCTGGCACTGGCTGCTTCAGCGCTGTCCGTGGGTATGCACCACACGAAGAATAACCCACATCCCGCTCACCAACACCAGATGGGTGTAGCCGCAGCAGCAGCAGTAGCTGCTGCAGCAGCAGCCGCTGCAGCAGTGTGTCAGCCGGCAGTAGGTGCTGTTGCTGGGCCATGTTCAACTTCAGTCTCAGGGCCGCCGCTAAATTCGTCTTCTTCACCGCGACACTATGCCTACTCTCACCACAACCATTCCCATCACAATCTGACACATCTCCCGCACAGTCAATTGCATCCCCATCACCACCATGCGGCGGCCGTTGCAGCAGTTTACCACTTCCAGCAGCAACAAAAACAGCAGCAGCAAAGTGGGCCAAGCGAGACTGACACAGGCGCAGTGTCACCGATTCTTGATGTCTCAATCACGAGTCAGGGCCTGGCCCCAACACCATCCCAGCCGTTACACCATCCGCCGTTGTATCCGGGCGTAAGCAAATGTTTTATATACCAAATCAATTCATACCGCATCGTGCAGTTTCCAGCACAGCATTAAAAATCCATAGAAAGCAATACATAATTCAACCACAAAAAGCATACACAACTGTTCATAAGAGTAGTTAATTCATTTCCTTTACTGCGACAAAATTCATTCCCAACTTATGCTACACAGTTACTGACCTGCAAGCAGACTATATGCAATGATAATACCACCTACGTCACAGCCGTATCACCTGTGAAACTCATTTTCTGTTGAAGTTAGCTTAATGTACTCATAATCGTTCGTTTACTCGGTTTAGCTACAGCCCTGACTCTCGTTACATAGTGCTTCGATCCGATGCACTGATTTTTTTCGGTAGGCCAGCGCTGCGCTGATGCTTCTTTGCGTTACACTGACACTGAAAATCGTTCAAATCATTAATTTACATAGTGACATTTATATATCGAGCTATTCTCATATATCTTCATGTGTCTCTGTCCCACTTCCTCTCGCTCTCTCTCTCTCTTTTTCACTATCTTTATCCTACTGTATGTAATATGTACATATATAAAGCCATTGATGGCGTAGTTGGGCAACATGTTTCATACCATTGCCCGCGCTATGCCCACAGCCAAGGCCAATGCTCGCTTGCTCGCTGAATTTGACTCCTTATTTTTAATACGCCAGTTGATGCAATTGCTATAATGTTGCCACAATTTTTAGCAGAACAGAATGTGTACTAGTCGCTCGTTTGCCACGTCGGTCGTTGTTTGCTGGTCGATGGCTAACACTAATTTATGTCAATCAATTAATAAGAAATTGATGAGCCCTTTCCTATGTTCGATCATCTTGTGTAACCTCCAATAACAATTACATACTGACCGTTTTAAAATGAACGAAGCTATCGATTTATCTACGATTTCTAATCAATTTGTACACGTTCTGTACTACACTTAGCAATTTTGGCAGCCTGGACTACAGCCAAGCACCTCGCAAGAGTAAGTTGCCATCGCCCACCCTTAGCAGCTGACAATAAAACGCAATTGCATTGACCAATAGTTTCTATGATTACAGCATCAAGCCGTTCGCACAGCCACCATATCCTACGGGTAAACCATCAACGGCCGTATCCGGGGAAATCGAAGCTGGTATTCCGTCCGCACAATTGCCATGGGAGGGACGCGCTATTGCTACGCACAAATTCCGCTTACTTGAGTTCACTGCGTTTATGGAAATCCAAAGAGATGACATGGTAAGTACAATAAAAATCGTTACACTTCAAATGAATTGATCTGATCTCTAGTTAACATCGCAGTATAACCGCCATCTTTTTGTGCAACTCGGCGGCAAGCCATCATTCTCCGATCCGCTACTTGAGGTGAGAGTTATCGTATGCCGTGGCATCTAGGAAACTAAACCATAACTATTTCAGACAGTTGATATCCGACAAATATTTGATAAGTTTCCGGAAAAGTCTGGCGGGCTGAAAGATCTCTACGAAAAGGGTCCGCAAAATGCGTTTTACCTGGTAAAGTGCTGGGCTGATTTAAATACCGACATTACGACAGGCAGCGAATCGGGTGATTTTTATGGCGTAACGAGCCAGTAAGTCCTAACTTATCAGTCTACCTTAGTATTTTTAACCATACTGAGAAAACTTTACTCCAATGCAGATATGAAAGCAATGAGAACATCGTGCTTGTATGCTCGACGATTGTTTGCTCATTCGGCAAGCAAGTGGTGGAGAAAGTAGAGAGCGAGTACTCACGCCTGGAAAACAATCGCTACGTCTATCGCATCCAGCGTTCACCTATGTGCGAGTACATGATTAATTTTATACAGAAGCTGAAAAATTTACCCGAACGTTACATGATGAACAGTGTGCTAGAGAACTTTACAATATTACAAGTGAGTCTAGTATATGTTGGTGTGGTCTATTTCTGTCAATGCTTATCTTCCTATTCCATCTTGACTGATTTATTTACAGGTAATGCGAGCGCGAGAGACGCAAGAGACACTTTTATGCATAGCGTATGTTTTTGAGGTGGCAGCGCAGAATAGCGGCACCACGCATCACATTTACCGTCTTATAAAGGAATAGCAAGAGCTGCATGAAGCAGCGCCTAATTTGTCCGCAAATCCCACCAATGCACAAATCAGCGAATACAGTAGCAACAACACCAACAGAATCAAAAATACAAATAAAAATATCAATACGATTAGTAGCCACCATAACAGCAATACCAACAGCAACGCCAACGATAATAGCAAAAAACCGCAAAAGTGTGCTAAAATAGATATTACAAATGGGAACTCATCAGAATTAGAAAAAACTATTAAACAGTCACCGACCTCACCGCAGCTACAGCAGCAACAGCCACATTTACTGGTGCAACAGCAACAGCTTGATACGATAGCTGCGCTACAGGTGGAAGAGGTTATATACGCACAGAACCAAGCTGAAAACACCTATCAGTCACAACAGCAGTTGCATGCGCGACTAGCACCAAATATGCCACTGCAGGAAGAGACAACAATCCGAAATCAACAGCAGCATCGCATAAATGCGCAGCCGTTTAGCGCATGCATCTCAAGCAAAAATCAGCAGTTTGGGACGGAAAAACTAGAGCAAAAACAATTAGGCACATACGAACACTTTTTAAGGCTGTCCACTATGGAATATGGGGTTACTGAAAATCCATCCACGGCACTAAACCTCAGCAGCATTGGCGGCAAGGATCCCATATCTGGGTCCAAACCAGATCATGAAGAATCACAAGAGTTGTCCATGCGTCAACAGGTAAATGTAGGTGCAGACATGGGGGTGGTGATCGCTGCTGATGCCAAAGTTGTCAGAAACCATGACGAGCCGTAAGCCATCGAGTCTTGGCGAGTTTTTTTTTTTGGGTTAAATTAGCAGGATCTAAATCGTTGATCGGCTTGTAAAAAAACCTGCACAATCGTAGATACCTGCTTCCAGTACATTCAGGGCGGACACGGAAGAAGCTAAATAATTTATATCAAACCTTTTTGCGTTTTCCTCCCTTTTTCCTAGGCAGGTGACCATGACTGAACTGATATCCCAAATCATTGTACAAATTGTTCTAGTACATTTTTGTAGCCCTGGAAGGTTATCCTTAATTGGATGACGTTTGATTTATGTACATGTAGAAAGTAGATATAAATTAACTTAAAAGATAGGTCAACTCTGGTGATCAACAATTTTAATAATTTCCGTATTCGTATAAAATCAATTTACAATTCATGATGTACATACATACATAGTATCTTCTGAAAACCAGGGTCAAAACTAACTAATTTGGGAATATTTCCAAATTCCCGACTTCTTAAAGCAAAGTAAAGTAAACACGTTGTCATTTCAATAATATAAAAAAAACGTTTTTTTAATAACAATAAAGAATATCTCCGAAAGTATTGAAGTTACTAAAATTGTAAGCTTCACGGAATTCGAAATTTTTTGGATTAATGCGAAGGTGTCTCGCATTCTTGTGCTGGGGATAGTTCGTAATATCTAACACCCGTATTAAGTGTTCTGTGTGGACAGTCTGATGTAATTAAATCAATTTTAACATACATTAACATCAAAAATACATTTAAATGATCTCAAAGTTACTTAAAATAAATATTTTTTTTGTGTAATTTGTTTTTTTTTTTACGAAAACCCAAGAAAAACGTAAGCAAAATAAAACATTTAGGAGTTGTCGCGCGCTGATTTTGAAACAAAAAACGATAGAAAGAATATGTATATATGTACAAACGTACATATTTCTTTATATATCCTTATGTACTACAGGCATATTTCTTATTTTTTTTTTCAAAATTATTTTTGTTCATATTTTTAAAGTATGCCACATTATAATGTTGTTTAAGCGTTTTAATTTTTATTCAAGGTATGAAGCAAGGTTTGAATTAGCAACGTGGATGTAGAAATATTCTAAGAATCTAATTGGTTACTTACTCATATATCGCAGGATGGGTTGGGTTGGCTGTGTGACATCGAGACTGCAACAAGATCTGCTCGAATCGATTAGGGCAATCGTTGCGTGAAAAAAACTACAGAATATTGTATGAGCGACTGTTTTTTTCTTTTCATACGTAGTGTCAACGTACAACATACATACATATACGTATGTATGTACATGTGAGCGATTTTACATGTAAAGAATTTCATTCAGCATGAATCGAATGATCTACATCTACCGTTTTTTAAATGATAATGGATTTATAATGATAATTCGCCGAATTCAGACAAATCGACTACGTAATAATTAATAGCGAACTCTTTGCATCCACTGAAGGCTAAGCTCGAACCAACGTGCATACATACATATTGGTTTTCTTAGAAAGAGAAGCATGTGTGCGAGGGATTATTTACCAGTTCTCTCACTCGTTCATAAAGAAGAAGCAAAATCATTTAAAACACCTATTATAATTGTAAAATATTGTATTACGATTACTCGTAATCGTATATGGACATGCCTATAGCAACATGTAATAAAATAAAAATTCTATATATACATATGTATGTATGTAAAAAACATATTAATTAATGTAAAGTACTTCTTTGTTGTACGAATAAAAAACATCGCTTTTTTTTTGTTTGTCTGTAAGTAAAGTAAGTTGCAAATGCAATTGAAAGCAAGAAATAAAGGTCCGTAATAATGGCGAGGGTTGTACATTTTTTCGAGAGCTTAGCTAAGCAGTAACAATAATAATAATAGCGTAAAAGTAACATAAATAATCAATAAGAAACTCACTGTTGTAAAAAAAAAAAATAGCTTAATAACTTAAAAATTTGTACCGAGTAAAAATAAAGGATACAACAATATAATTATTATAAAACTGAATAAGACCAGAGATAACAATCCTTATATTAATTGAATAAAATAGTGCCTAACATAAGAAAAGTATTACACAATCCATTGGTAAATGGCCAATGGTAATTGAATGGGCACAGTAGAGGGCCAAAGCCTTGTTCTCAGCAAAGAAAACTTTTCCGAATTTTTTTTTTCGATTGATGTTTGTTTTTTTTAGAACAGGATAAAATAAATAAATATTTATGCACCTATTAACAGTTCACACATTGTGAATTGATTGCTTCGATTCGTATGCTTACAAATCTCATTTTTTTTTTAAGAATCTGATTGTGTTATTTAGATAATATCAAGATATCGCATACAAACAAACACCCATTCAGTATAAACAACAATTTCTAAGAACTTAGTTTTATATAATTTCCGGAAAGCCCTTGCTATCTAAAGCTGATAAGAATTTTGTAAAGTAAATCAGTATGAGAAGTACGGATTAAAATATATATGTATAAAAATATATATATATCCTTTAATTCGTATGTGTGTTTCTACGTATATAGATATCAATTCAGCCATGCAGTCGGAATTACATATATTTTTTGTTTTCAGTTTCACACAAATTGGTTTTATATCATTTAGCAAATATGAATTGCTAAAAATGTCAACCTTTTAAGAAATTTTATACCTTAATTGATCGTAGAAATCCCATCTCGATCCCATTTAATATTTCCCTATTTATAGTACATATGTACATACAAAACTTTGTGTATTCAAATATTCCGAAATAGTTTGAAAGTAAGTGATTAATTCGTGTTAACTCAGAACGCAATATAAATAATTATACGAATAAATGCTCACATGTGAATGTACGTATGTATCATACGGTCAATGAATGTTCCTTAATGGTTCAGTTTCGTTTCTTTCACTGGTGCTCAATACGATCAAACAGAATTAGAAAAAGAGAACAAGGGCATGATGGCAAATAGTTGGGAGTTTGCTGAGAAATTTTGTATCGTGTAGAATAGATGAACAATTGGGTACGTGAAAATAAAAATTGAAATAAAAAAATTACAACAAAAAATAGTTTCTTAAATTATTTATTAGTACGTTTATAAATAGATTTAGCAATAAATAAAACAAAGGATAGACAGTGAAAATTAAACAATCAAATTTAATAACGGTATAATTGATTGTACATGTATATTTTTTTTACTTGTCATTAAAAAAATGCAAGCAACAAAAAACAAAATATAATAAAAAAAGAAGCATGTGAAATTTACGTAAGGAAAAATGTGTCATTTTAATTTTTACACTGAAATGCATTAATAAAAATTTTAATATAATAAAAGAAGAAAAATTTTATTTTTGAAATATTAATCACTTGAGAATAGGATCTTTTCAGCTTATTTTTTGACCCATTTATAGTAAGCATATGCGAGAAAGCAACTGTACATATTTTTAATATGTGGCGTGGGGACTTGCGGGGTTGACCGGTGGATCTGTGGATCTGTGGGCTGCGAAAAAGAAAAATAACGATAGTTCTCGAGAGTTCAATGCTACGAATGTTCGATTTTTCGGCCTTGCTTAGCGACGAATATTTCGATCTTCATTCGAGTATGTTGCAGAAACATTTTACATTTCTTAGGATGTAAATGCATGTTAAAAGGTAGTTAATAGCACTGTGCGACTGTCATTTTGTGCTTAGCACGAGACAAAAATTAGGATGTAGGCCGAAATCATTTCCTGATACTTAAAATTTTCAATATAAATCCAAAATATTTTTTTTTTAAATAAAAAATCCGTGATTTGGTGACTTTGTTCTTTTATCGTTTTTACTCTGAATTTACAGCGCGGTTATCCAAAAAAGTAATATATTGTCAAGAAAATTCTGCTACTAAAATGTAGTAGACTGAAAGTTGAAGTTTTCTACCATTTTTAATGTTTCTTCAACGTTGGCATTTATTTTTAATTTTTGTTGTATTGTATGGTATTATTTATAACTGTACTCGAAGAGTTAAGGGGTATATTGTATTGTGGTAAAAGTGGATGTGTGCAACGTAGAGAAGGAATGGTTTCCGACCCCATAAAGTATAAATATTCTTGATCAGCATCAAAAGCCAAGTCGATATAGTTATGTCTATCTGTCAGTCCGCCTGTCCGTCCGTCCTGATGAGCGCCTATTTCTCAGAGTCCATAAGAGATAGAGCAACCAAATTTTGTTTCCAGACTCATGTGATCAAGTGTATTTAAAAATTTCTTCCTACCCCCTTCCACTACCACAAGGGGCGAAAATCTGAGGCAAACTTCCAAAAGGTATTTTTTGTTAATTATTTTTTTCATTTTTTAGGTTTGGTTAACGAATTTTAGCTCCAAAGTTTCTTCATAGATTTTAATGAGCAACGACAAACGACGCCTTTAATGCATCTATACACAAAAAAATAGAGGACACAGTATATAATTTTATAAAAATAATTTGGGATTAACTTCTAGTTGTTTTAATTATCTTTTCAAAATAGCAAAGTTCTTTACAAACAGACGTAACATACTAGAGTTATGTGAAAAAAAAGCACTACCTCTGAAAAAAGCTTAAAAAAAATACCAGTTTTCAAAAATTCTTAAAAAAAGTGCTGCCAAAGGAAAAAAAAACATTTTAAAACATTTCTAAGCCCCAAATCTTTAAGAAAAAGGTGGTTTTTCTCCTTGAGGACAAATCGTGTCGGGTAGTTATATTTGTCTCTTGTAAAGTACATTCACTCAAAAGTTTCTCATTTGTGGCAAAGTGTAATTGCACAATTAAATAATTTCAATACTCGTATGATAATGTCATATATCATTATTTCAATTACAAAATTATTTATAACTAGCTGTACCCTGCCACAATTCGCTGTGGCATATTGTGGTTGGACGCATTAGGAAGACAACAATGCATAAGTATTAAATACTTTTAATTTTGTAGTATTTGTTGGTACACAATATTTTTCTTTTCTCCATTCTGCGCGTAAATATGAAGGCTATTTGGTTTACCGACATGGAAACACGCAACATACAATTGTCCGTATGAAAAGCAATCTACATCTAAATATAAACCACAAAATTGCAGAGACTGATCTTGAGCTTTATTAATTGTCATTGCAAATGCTAATCGAATGGGAAATTTCAATTTTTATACCCGTACTCAAAAAAGAGTTAAGGGGTATGTTGTATTTGTGGTAAAAGTTGATGTGTGCAACGCAGAGAAGGAAACATTTCCGACTCCATAAAGTATATATAATCTTGATTAGCATCAATAGCCGAGTCGATAGAGCCATGTCTGTCTGTCCGTCTTGATGAGCGCCTAGATCTCAGAGACTATAAGAGCTAGAGCAACCAAATTTTGTTTCCAGACTCATGTGATCTCACACTGCTACAAGTATTTCTAAAAAATTATATGCTCAAAAATGTATATACTGACTGAGTACAGGTATAAGTAGAGTCGCGTCCCTAGAAGCGACTCGCACGTTCCTTCTCGTTTGAATTGAAATGGTTTATCAGTCGGTATCATGGAAATCCTAGGAATGGAGACATCTTTACCTTTGAAAGGTCCAATTAAGATCGTTGCCTTCAGCACGTTGTTCATACATTTCTTGACAGCGAGTCGCGTACCGTTGCAGAGTTTTGGCTGATTAATATTCCGGAGCATGATAATTGGCACAACTATTTTCAATTTCATCGACATTTTTTACTACATTCCTGTCGTGTTCACAATCGAGCATCCTCAAGCCTGGCTGCACGGCTTTCTGCTGGTTCCATGATAATCCTCTGCCTTTGTCTTAGCCGATTCGCCCCTCGCACCGATTTCCGCTCTTCCTCAGTCCTATTCGAAACATTTCTTCTCGTAAGTTCTGCCACTTTCTGTCCACTCTCTAGACTTCTCGCTAGCACTGTTGACGTCCCATCTTCCACAGAAGATTGAGAGTCAAGGGCGCTCACGTTCCTACCTCGCTGCTTCATGCCCACTACCCTACTGGACGGTCTTCACGGGATATTGTAGCTGCTCCGAATGCTACGCGTGGCCGACTCATGTCCCCACGGGCCAATCAGAACAAACATCTCTTCGAGATACTACCTTCCCGACCCCATCCAGAGGTAAGTAGGGGAAGCAACACATACATATTTTGCCTTCATCTAACTGCCGGTACTCTTTCTTTTCCAGGTTCTCTCTTTTCGCACACCAGGCATCGAGACGGTTGCTAACTGCTTGAGGATTCTCCTCTGCCAGTGCCAACCCGAGTCCCCTACTAGAGTTCCTGCTTCCCGTTGTCAGATAAGTGCAAAAAACGAACAAAACAAAAAAAGACAAATTTAATTTGTGGATTCTTTGCATTTCCAGGTCCCTCAGCGCCGTGCATCTGTGAGCCAACATATTCAGTCCCTAACAGGCCACTGGAACACCGACGGACCCAGATTGCAAACTACCACCCGAGATAGCTTCTCTCCGCTGGACATTTTTATTATCTTCGACCGTACGATTCGCTTCCGTACTCTCCCTCTTTTGTGGTCGAGCACAGACTGCGACTCTACTTTTTGTCTAAGCTTGGACGCCATTATTGTTACGAACCTTTTGGTGGTGGGGCAAAGCCGGCTAGCCAGTCATCCCAGGGCTGGATACTTCCCAAGCCCTCAGGTCGCACAACAAACCCAACAAATCGATCATCTCGGACAACATTTGAAACAACTACAAAAAAAAACGGAAAATAACGAAACGACACTTCAAAAATACTACTCGACAAACGATCTCCTACCAAAACGTGGACCAGGTTGAGGCGTTGATGTTATACCTCCAACGTACCCACCCTACCAGGGATACGGATCAGACCACATCGGATCTCCCTGCCATGTGCAGCATCTTTCTCATCATCTCGTAGTCCTGGTTCGCCTCTCCCCCATTTTAAATAATTAGCACTTCATTCTTTCTTATATGGGGCCCGCGCGGGCGGGGGTTTCAACTTAAA